TTTAAGGAAACTACATTTTACAAACATGGTAAAAAACAAAATACATGATATGCAAAGAGTGGCAACAACATATAAAGTGCAATGCTCCATCCTCCAGTTAACTGAGTGCTCTCGCTCAAAGTTAACTTGCTACAGCGCTAGTGAAGAGAGTGTTTCCGCTCCCCTCTCACTGCACACAGTTGGTTTAATGCCCGTTCCATCCTTCAGTTAGCAGAGTGCTCTCGCTTAGGCTAACTCGCTACGGCGCTAGTGGAGAGAGTATTCCCGCTCTCCTCTCACGGCATAAACCCATTAACTGACTTCATTTTTCTCACCCCAGTTAGCAGAGTGCTCACGCTCACGCTAACTACTATTGTGCTCACTCCCCTCCACTGCATATTTGTTTCCTGGCCCAGTTATTTACAGTCAGCTGAGTGCTCTAGCTATCGCTATGTCTAACGGCTCTAACACCTGTATGGCTCCTCTTCAACCAGAGGATGGCCATGACCTTTGCCCCTCTTGTCTTGGCCTCGAGCATCTGAGGGAGGGCCTTTCGGAGGACCCGTGCATGAATTGCACCATCATGACTCGTGCGGTAAGAGCTGCTAGACTAGCCGAGGTTGAACTACTGACTGAGGGTGGCCTTCCCCCTGCACAGTCGACTCCAGCCCAACCTACCCATCCTAGGCGTTGGGCCGCAGAGGCTGCGGGTGCACCGCCCAAGAAGAGGACTAAGCCTGATAGGCTGTCCTCCAGGGTGGACCTACTCACTGCTGAGCTAGCCCAGATGAAGTCACTCCTCTTGGCTCTCCATTCTGGTGCCCGTACAGAGCACGCCGCTGCACCCGATCCACCCGATCCACCCGTGGCTGAGCTGGTTCTAGATGACGATGTGTTCTCGATGGCAGCTTCAGCCACTCAATTTAATGAGTATGACGGGGAGAGCCCATCCCATGCTTCTGGGCCTGGCTCCTGTACCTCAGTTCATGGATCCTCGGAGGAGGCAGATGACGGCTCCATGGGTACCGTCATTCGCATGGCACTGGCTCGCCAGCAGCTGGATGCACAGCAGCCCGAAACAGCGCTTGCCAGTGCGTTCTTTAGGCGCACTCCGGCACCCGCCACGTTTACTGTTCCTCCCTCTTGTGAGTATCTGAGGGAGTTACATGCATGCTGGAGGGACACTAAGGCTCTTTACAGTCTTACGTCCGATGGCCGAGCCTTGGCAGCCATGCAGGATGCGGCAAGAGTTGGCCTTGACCACACGCCGGCTGTTGAGCCTACCATTGCTTCCCTCATAGTTTCCCCTGACGAAGCTCTGAGGTCGGAGGCCAGGTGCCCTCTACTCCAATGTCGGGTCACTGATGACCTGTTCACTAAGGCTTACGATGCAGCGGCGCGCATGGGCCGTATAGGCAATTTCCTCTCTCACCTCATGCTCGCCCTCTCAGCTTCCCTGCAGCAGGATGTTCTCAGCGCTTCCTCTACCAGCCTCAGTGACGCCTCATTACAGGCGTTCGCTCTGATGTCTAGAGAGCTTGGTCTCCACTCTCGTCCAGACTTGTCGCCAGGTTTGGCTGGCACAGTCACCCTTATCAGAGACATGTAGGAGGACTCTCCGTGCTGTCCCAGTGGAGCCGGGGGAGCTGTTCGGTTCAGCTGCTGTACAGGTGCTCGAACGGACTGTCCAAGCTAGTCAGACCAGGCAACAGTTCTCAGCTCTTCACAGAGACATGCCCCCCCCCCCGGTAGGCCTAGAGGTTCCGCGTCTGCCTCCCGAGGCCGCTCCCATCCACCGGCTCACCCCGGTGCCCGCCATGGGCCTCAGCGCCCCACGAGGGGGCCGGCCCGCTACGGTCCTGTTAACTCGCCCCCAAGGCAGCCTCGGTATCCGGTGCCTAACCGTCGCCCCCCCCAGAGCCAGAGGCCGGGGGGCAAGGTACTGAGGGTCTGGGGCCGGCTGTCGGTTATTTCTCCCAGCAGCAGCTCAACTACTGGGTAGCTCAAGCTTCAGACCCCTGGGTAGTTTCCACCTTAACCCAAGGGTACAAGCTTCAGTTCCGACGCCGGCCCCCAGTCTTCAGCCGGGTCAAAATGACCACCATAAGCGACCCGGCAAAATAAATCGCCCTAAACCAGGAGCTGTCAGTCCTCCTTGCCAAGGGTGCAATCGAGCCTGTGGACCCCATCTCACAGCCCGGAGGCTTCTACTCGACCTACTTCCTGGTAAGGAAGAAAGGCGGTGGACTTCGCCCAATCCTCGATCAACAAGTTCCTAAAGATTTTACCTTTCCATGGGCTGAGCACAGCAGACGTTCTTCGTACCGTGGCCAGGGGGGAATGGTTCACGTCCGTCGACTTGAAGGACGCTTATTTTCATGTGCCTATTGTGCCTCATCACAGGCAGTTTCTTCGCTTTGCCTTCAGAGGACGTCATTTCCAGTTCAGGGTGCTCCCATTCGGACTCTCCCTCTCCCCAAGGGTGCAGTCTCAGGGTTGAAGATTCCGCCATACTTAGACGACTGGTTAATCTGTGCACCATCCCGGTTACAGTCGATCCAGGACACGGCTCTCCTTCTCTCTCATGTCGCCCGGATAGGCCTCAGGGTGAACATGGAGAAGAGTTGTCTGAACCCCTCTCAGAGCCTAACCTTCATTGGGGTGGCTCTGGACACAGTCACTCAACCAGCGAAGGCGGTGTTCTCGCCCCCACTCCTGGTAGACGTGCTGCTTCATTCTAGCAGCAGCCGACTGGATAAGCTGTCCTGCTAAAACTTCTTTATTTTTTTCCAGCTAGGTGAAGGCAGTGCTCTCGCTCCCGCTCCCTCTGCTGGTAACATGGGTGTAGTTACATCCCTTTTGTGTTCGGCGAGTAGGAGCGTTGCTCCACTCTTTCCGTTCAGCAGATAGCTGGTGAAGGCTGTGTTCTCGCACCCTGCTCCCGCCTACGCTGCATCTGGCATTCGTTATTAACTCAACCAGTGAGGGCGGTGTTCTCGCCCCCGCTCCTGGTAGACGCGCTGCTTCATTCTAGCAGCAGCTGCCTGGCTAAACTGCAACTCAACCAGTGAAGGCAGTGTTTATTAACCTGTTACGCACCATCCGCCCGGTACCGGGTGGATAAACGCGTCATTTGCAGGAAACAACGTCTAAGGAATCTTAATATTTAATAAAACTATGAATGTTTTATATCCATGTAACGGGAAGAAACTCAGCTAACTGATCTTTTTAATTTTTTTTTCCAAAAAAAAACCCCACAATGCTAGCACTCAGCCTCTGAATTAGCCACGAGCTAAAAAATGTAACCTAAAACGGCACTTAAACTCACAATAACTCCCTTATTACTTATCCTAGATGCACAGCCAACCAGTCGTTTTTGGTGTCCTGGAGACACTGAATCTAGTGGTGCCCACCTCAACACTCAGTGATAAACATTTGCGACGCTATAAACGAAAGCGTACATCATAACATGTGGAGCTAAGTAGCTAGAAACGCTAACATGGCTTACCTTGGTCAAAACTGGTCTTCAATGGCATTAAAACGATAAAAAAACGATGCTGCAGTTAATCCATAGGTTCATCCAATGTATCTGTGCCCTCTTTGAAATTATTTCTGATAATCCATAAGCAGTAAAACGGCTTTTTCGTTTCCAAATGTCAGAGCTAGAAATAGCTTCACTCTGCTTAACATTTACATGCGCGCAGCCCCCACCTTTTCTCTTCACAATGTGTGTGTGTGTGAGCCTCCCCCTTCGATTCTATTGGCTCTAACGGTCAGAAAGAGGTGTCAACCATCCAAATCGACCAAGGGGGGCCAGAGATATGGAAAAAAAAAATGTTTCACCCAAATCACCTCAAAGGTGGGGTGGTTTTGGCTAAACCTCTCTAAAAAGGTCAAATGTCACTTGTTTTGCATCAATCTTGATACAGGGTACTTATTATATGTTGTACTTTGGATTCCTAAAGCTTTTAGTCTACTAACCCATCATCCAAGGGTAGTTTTCACTATCTGTAAAAAATAATTTTTGGACGGACACTATAATTTACAGTTTTTTACTATGTAAAATCTGAATTTTCTTTCAAATAAAAAAGATTTATATTGATTCTGACACTTCTACATCCAACTCACAGATGTAACCTTGCTTTGATAAAAGAAATTATTCATATAACCCTTTTAGAAGTTAAGTTGTAGTCATTTGTTTTGGGCATGTCATTTTCGAGCCTGAAACATGAAAAACAGGCTTGGTGCTTAACAGGTTAAAGGAAAAGATCATTTTAAAATTGGCTTCATCCAATGTTCCCATTTCTGCTCTGGAAATGTATGCAAATAAGCACATTTGTATTTTAAAACTGGTAACAGGAAAGATAATTGCCTTCATGTAAGTAATCACCTTTAAAAGTGATATCTATTATTTAAAATATTTACACTATTCCCCTGTATTTCGCAGCACTGATCTAAACAGCGCTCTCTGGTGTAGAATCAGACACTCTGTCACCCCTCCATCCTCCCAGCCTCCCCCTCTGTTACTCTGTAAATACGTCACATGACTTCCTCTTTTGCTCGACACAGGAGAACAATATTTATTTTAGTATCTAGAATACCACAACTTTTAACCTCTGCACTTCTTACATCAGGAGATACTGTAGATGAAAATACAATTAGAGAATTAGTCAGAGGCCGCATAAAAAAAATACAATAATGTTTTAATATTTATAAAAACAATGTCTAAAAGAGAAAGATAACTTAAACATTTTTTAACTAAAAGCTATTTTCTGTGTGCAGTCTATGGGCAATAAAATAACAATAAAAAGCAACAACGTCTTTATAACATTAACACTATTGTCCTGTATTAGTGATAGCAGCCCAAACTGAAGGAGACATTTCATAAAGGTTTAAATATATAGTCTATGGTTATAACCCTTATTTAAATAACTTGTAACATTGGTTTCCACTGCTACAGTTGCTTGAGTTAAATTAATGTTGTAGGTTTTTTGTTCTGGTTTATTCTGATTTCTGTTCAGGAGTTTTGTCGCCTGTTGAAGACAGTGAAGGTGGATGTGGATTCTTCAGGCAGGAAGTGCAAAGAGAGGATGATGAAGGTCCTCATTGAAAGCCCTTTGTCTCCCTATGCTGGACATGGGTATGTATCACTGACAAATCTACGGTGGCCCTGAAGTGCAAGTCAAAACAGCATTTCAGGAAACACCACAGCATTTCACAAAACACCACAGCATTTCAGAAAACGCTACAGCATTTCACAAAACAACACAGCATTTCACAAAACACCACAGCATTTCAGAAAACACCACAGCATTTCACAAAATGCTACAGCATTTCAGAAAACGCCACAGCATTTCACAAAATGCTACAGCATTTCAGAAAACGCCACAGCATTTCACAAAACGCCACAGCATTTCACAAAACGCCACAGCATTTCACAAAACGCCACAGCATTTCAACTTATACGGAAAGGGTATTCCTTTAGGGAGAACACTTCTTGTTTGTGATTGGACAGAGCCAGCCAGAGAAGCACTGCTGTGATTGGTTGTTTTTGCTGCCAGTCAAGAAATGACTCTTCGTGATTGGTCAGCACCCGACAGCGCAACATGTCCCGAAACATCAGCCGTTAGCTGTTAGCACACAGAGCTCACAGCTCCTCATATCTGTTCAGAAACTGGTCAAAAGTGAACCTGTTAAGCCAGAGAGACCCCGGTACCGGGGCACTCCCGCAACATCTTGCAGGAAACGGTGTCTGAGGGCATGTTCATTGAATAAACTATGAATGTTTTATATCCATGTAACGGGAAGAAACTCATCTAACTGATCATTTTTATTTATTTTTCAAAATAAAACCCACAATGCTAACACTGAGCCTCTGAATTAGCAACGAGTGAAAAATGCTAACAGATTACTGCACCGAAATTCACTCACAAAACCTTATTATTTATCTTTTCTGCACATCCATGACATCTTTTCACATCGTGAGGTGACACAGAATCGATGGGTGCATACATTATCACTCCATGATACGAACTTGCGACTTTATAAACAAAAACAGACATCAAAACATGTGGCGCTAGGTAGCTAAAAACGCTAACATGGTTTACCTGTCTCGTAGTCTGGTCAAAAGTGGTCTTCAATGGCATTAAAACGATAAAAACGCTGCTGAAGTTAATCCATAGGTTAATCCAATGTGTCTGTGTCCCTTTGAAATGATTTCTGATAATCCATGAGCAATAAACCTGCTTTTCTGTTTCCAGATGTCAGAGCTAGAGTATTGTTTGTTTGTAGCCTTTATTTAACCAGGTTAAAAAATCCCATTGAGATCAACGATCTCTTTTTCAAGGGAGACCTGCGAGGGAGTATAGGTTCGCTCTGATGCAAAACTGCATGCGCGAAGCCCCCACCTTTTTTTTTTACCATGTGTGTGAGAGGGGAGATTCCCCTTCGATTCTATTGGCTCTAACGGTCAGAAAGAGATCGACCAATGGGTTCCAGAGAAACGGTAAAACCCCCATTTCCACCCAAATCACCTCAGAGGTGTAACCCTAACCCTTTTGCATCAATCTTGATACAGGGTACTTATTATATGTTATAAAGAATTTTTGGACGGACACTATAATTTACAGTTTTTTACTATGTTCAATCTGAATTTTCTTTAAAATAAAAAAAAAACTATATCATTTTGAAACGTTTATTACAATTAAATCATGGTAAAATATGTTCATTTTGTTGTAGTTGGTATCTACCAAAGTATTTGCATGGATATAAGCCCCGCCCGCTCTCCAGCGCGTCTTGTTTGAATGACAGGAGTAAACACAGCTGACAGCCGCGGTGAAACCTGAAACTCGAGCGATTAGAGCGATGCGAATATTCGGGGCTTATATCCATGTAAATACTATGGTAGACTACAACAAAATGAACATATTTTACCGTGATTTCATTGTAATACACGTTTCAAAATGATGCCGAAGTAACAACATACTGTTAGCAGTTAGTAAAAACCATGAATTAATGCTGTGACACATCTGCAGACAAGACAGCAGGCAAAAAACCTTTTAAAAGGCGTGTTTTCTGAATGGAGATCGGATCGATCAGGATAAACTAACCTGTAGCTGCTCCGTCCAAACTCACAACAACGGCATACAGACATAAATAAAGCAGCGACTGTATTCACCATGACACAGACAGTCTGTGGTTTGTTCATGTTTAACTTTTGTCCAGTTTCTGAACAGATATGAGGAGCTGTGAGCTCTGTGTGCTAACAGCTAACGGCTGATGTTTCGGGACATGTTGCGCTGTCGGGTGCTGACCAATCACGAAGCGTCATTTCTTGACTGGCAGCAAAAACAACCAATCACAGCAGTGCTTCTCTGGCTGGCTCTGTCCAATCACAAACAAGAAGTGTTCTCCCTAAAGGAATACCCTTTCCGTATAAGTTGAAATGCTGTAGTGTTTCCTGAAATGCTGTAGTGTTTCCTGAAATGCTGTGGTGTTTTGTGAAATGCTGTAGTGTTTTGTGAAATGCTGTGGTGTTTTCTCAAATGCTGTGGTGTTTTCTCAAATGCTGTGGTGTTTTCTCAAATGCTGTGGTGTTTTGTGAAATGCTGTAGTGTTTTCTGAAATGCTGTGGTGTTTTCTGAAATGCTGTTGCGTTTTCTAAAATGCTGTAGTGTTTTGTGAAATGCTGTGGTGTTTTCTGAAATGCTGTATCGTTTTCTGAAATGCTGTGGTGTTTTGTAAAATGCTGTGGTGTTTCCTGAAATGCTGTTTTGACTTGCACTTCAGGGCCACCGTACAAATCACTGCTGTAGAAATAAACTAGTTACCTGTACAACATGTCATCATTAAACTAATCAAAAGTAATGTTACCTGATTACTTTCCATTACTTTTGATTACCTGTATATCAAATGCAATACAGAGAAATACAAGAGAAAATAAATCTCGACCAAAAAGTGAAAACCATAAAGCTAATTCATTTAGCTCTATTTAATAAAACCATATGCAGTACTCTTGTTTAAATGTGTCCACTTACTGTATTTTAAAATAAATAGAGTAAAAGAAGCATTCAAGACTGGTTTCACTATGTGCCTTTAGACTTGTAATGTGTAAGCATGTGCTTTGTAATATACATGTATCATTACTTCAAAATGTATTGTAACAATTATTGTAATCCTGCTAGTAATCCCCATAAAAAAAATATAACCAGTAATTATATGTTACATCTTTTTATAAATGTATTTTGGTAATCTTATAAAGTATTCCTGTTGCATGTACTTGGTCCCCCCCAGGTCTGACTACACAATTCAAACCTTTATTTAACCAGATTGGTCCCATTGAGATCATAGATCTCTTTTTCAAGGGAGACCTGCAACCTACAATTTTCCTCATATTGTCTCTGTGTTCCTCTCCACCTCTCTGTCAGGCTGCAGGGTTTCGTGGTGAAGAGCTACGAGTCGTTACCAGAGCTGAGCGCAGCCTTCCAGGAACTCAACATGACAGAGATCTACCAGCAGATACTGCCATCTTTAAGTGGCTGACGGCACACAGGTTACCACGGTGATGGATCCTAAACTGGAAAAAAGATCTTTGAAAAGATTCAGACTGAGAAAGCAGGAACAGCAACCTGACTCTAGAAACATGAAGCACAGGAAGAGCTGACTGGACAGAATGTTCAATAAATGTAAAGCCTCCCCCCCAATACCAAACATGGTTTCATTACTGCTGATTGGTTGTGTGATGCTGTGAAGACAAATGACAGCAGATCTAAAGGTGAACATTTTCTTTGAAGAAAACTCCTCACACTCTGACCTGTATCTATAGTTGTTAGTGTCAAGAAACACCTTGCAAAATATATTTTCATGGAGGTCATTTTGTTCCTACTTTACAGACAGTAGCTTAGGCTTCCTACACAGTATGGAAAGTATGGAATTATATTTTAGCAGTGGTGGAAAAAGGAGGCAGATATTTTACTCACTCGTGAAAGTATAAAACCACATTGTAAAAATACTTTGTTACATATTACATATGACTAAAATTCAAAGTAATCAATATGTACAATTTGTATAATAACATATAAATTGTTGAATGATAACTACAGTATCAGTGTAACTCAAGTACTCTACTTGAGTATAATACTAAGGTGCTTGGGTATTTAAATGTTATTCTACTTTATATTTCTACTCCAATACAATTTGGAGGCACATATTTTACTTTTTTCTCAGTAAATGTTGTTGATACCTTTTAGTTACTTTGCAAATTAAAAAATCAACAAATAAATTACGATATAAAATGATTATAGATTCAGGGATGCAAACACACGTATGGTGAAAAAAGAGAGAACTATTCGAAGCAGAAAAAAACCAGCGTAATATACCATCTGACAAAGGCCTGTGCTATAATGCTTCAATTAACTGGCTATTCTTTATAATCAGTGGCGTTTTTATATGTACAAAAGTGGTGGGGCACAAAAAAGTTAGATGTCTATATATAAGCTTCTGCAGTGAGGTTCATGGCTGCTGAGGCACTGGCACTGACTATTCAGGTTTACAAATATTATATTTTGACCTAAACCAAAATATAATATTATTTTCAAAAGCTTTTTTTGTCTGATGCTTCGATTAATTCCCTCCTGTTACATTCAGGGTCAAATTGACCCATTTGAAAATCTACGAAAAATACTTTCAAGTATTTTTTTTGTATGAAACTTCTTCTACTTACCTTAATTAGTGCAATAAACAAGTAAAATGAAAATGGTTCATGTCATGCATTTGGAACCCCCCCCTACATGTCTATATCACAGAGATGGTATTCGGGTCAATCTGACCCGGCAGTGCAAGTGGAGGCTAAAAGGGGTCAGAAATGCACACACACGCACACGCACACCAGTGAAAGTGGAGGCTAGAAGGGGTCAGAGGGCTCAAATGGGATATACGGTATATATATCGTAATTTTCCACAGAGAGACAGACAGACAGAGACAGACAGAGAGAGAGAGAGAAACAGACAGACAGACAGAGAGAGAGAGAGAGAGAGAGACAGACAGAGACAGACAGACAGACAGACATATGTCCTCCAGGGGCACACCTCTCAAGGTCGCCCATGACGTGGAGACACTCCTGGTAGAGTGGCACTTTACTCTGGGTGGCAAGGGATGGTCATTCGCCTTGTATGCCTGGGCAATGACGTCCACGATCCAGTGGGACAAGCGCTGTTTTGAGAGCGCACAGCCCCTTCTAGGACCACCGTAACACAGAAAAAGCTGTTCAGACTGACGCATGCCTGCGGTATTCTGGACATAAGCTCTAAGGGCCCGCACCGGGCATAGGAGTCTTGACCTCTCTTCCCCCTCTCCTGATGGGGGGTCAAACCGTGCCAGCTGGATAGGCCGATTAAAATGAGAGCGTGCCAGCACCTTAGGGAGGAACCCTGTGTTCGGCCATAAGGTGACACCTGAGCCATCTGAGTTCCACCTCAGACACGAGCTGTTCACGGACAAGGCCTGAAGCTCACTTACACGCTTGCTGAGGTGATGGCAAGAGGGAAAGCAGTCTTAGCTGAGAGCCACTTCAGTTCTGCCTGTAACAAAGGTTCAACAGGAGGCGAGCATAGGGCATCCAGCAGCAAGGGCAGGTCCCATGTAGGGGCCCTTGGGATATTCGGGGGGCGAAGCCTCAGAGCTCCCCTTTAAAAAGAGGGATACCAGCCTATGGCTCCCCACTGTGCTGTTGTCAGCCCCTGCGTGTTGAGCTGATATAGCAGCCACATACACCCTGACGGTAACGGGACACCGGCCGTCGTCCAGGAGGGACTGCAGGAACTCAAGGGTCGTAGGTACCGAGCAATATACTGGGTCCTCATTTCGCCCTTGGCACCAGTAAAAAAAAAAACAGTTTCCACCTGTTTTCGTACTGCCTACGAGTAGATTGAGCCCTAGCATTTGAGAATAGTCTTCCTGACAGACTCTATGCAGTCGCTCAGCAGTGGGTCGGGCCCTCCAGTGGCCAGACCCACAGCTGGAGGCGGCAGGGGTTGGGGTGCCACATCCGACCCTCCAACTGAGACAAGAGGTCCTTCCTGTTGGGGAGACGCCAAGGCGTCCCACAGCAGAGTCTGTGCAGCAGATGGACAGGCCCGCGCCTAGCTGGGTTAAACAAGGAAGTTTAACAGGGCAGTTTAGCCAGGCAGCTGCTGCTAGAATGAAGCAGCGCGTCTACCAGGAGCGGGGGCGAGAACACCGCCCTCACTGGTTGAGTTAATAACGAATGCCAGATGCAGCGTAGGCGAGAACACAGCCTTCACCAGCTACCTGCTGAACGGAAAGAGTAGAGCAACGCTCCTACTCGCCGAACACAAAAGGGATGTAACTACACCCATGTTACCAGCAGAGGGAGCGGGAGCGAGAGCACTGCCTTCACCTAGCTGAAAAAAAAAGAAGTTTTAGCAGGACAGCCTATCCAGTCGGCTGCTGCTAGAATAAAGCATCACGTCTACCAGGAGTGGGGGCGAGAACACTGCTTTCGCTGGTTGAGTGACTGTGTCCAGAGCCACCCCAATGAAGGTTAGGCTCTGAAAGGGGTTCAGACAACTCTTCTCCATGTTCACCCTGAGGCCTAGCCGGGCGACATGAGAGAGAAGGAGAGCCGTGTCCTGGATCGTCTGTACCAACCAACTGTGTGCAGTGAAAGGGGAGCGGAAACACTCTTCACTAGCACTGTAGCAAGTTAACTTTGAGCGAGAGCACTCAGCTAACTGGAGGATGGAGCATTGCACTTTATATGTCGTTGCCACTCTTTGCATATTATGTATTTTGTTTTTTACCATGTTTGTAAAAAGTAATTTCCTTAAATGTTTTATGTGAGGGAATGGAAAATAGCTCAAAGCTAAATCTGGCACTGTTACGCTTGACACATTTAAATGTTTTAAGTGTTCATTACAGTGCATTGTCCCTGTCAAATAAACGATTAAATAAAATAACCAATTGTGCGCCGTGAGAGGGGAGCAAAGACACTCTCCTCACTAGCGCTGTAGCAAGTTAGCTTTGAGCGAGAGCACTCGGCTAACTGGAGGATAGAACAGGAACTAATTGTGAGCTGTGAGAGGGGAGCGAAGACACTCTCTTCACTAGCGCCGTAACAGTTAGCTGGAACGAAAACACTCAGCTGACTGGACGATATAACAGGTAAGGAAACAATGTATGCGGTGAGAGGGGGGCGGAGACGCTCCCTTCACTAGCGCCGTAACAGTTAGCTTGAACGAAAACACTCAGCTTAACTGGACGATAGAACAGGTAAGGAAACAAATGTATGTAGTGAAAGGGGGGCGGAGACGCTCCCTTCACTAGCGCCGTAACAGTTAGCTTGAACGAAAACACTCAGCTAACTGGACGATAGAACAGGCAAGGAACCAAATGTATGCAGTGAAAGGGGGGCGGAGACGCTCCCTTCACTAGCGCAGTAACAAATTAGCGAGAGCCCTCGGCTAACTTGTACACAATTATCTCATTAGCTTGAGAATAGATAGCACAATCAGCGATAAATGGTAGCGATCTCACCGGCTGACGTGCAGGAGCGTCCACTCTTTACCGGTCCGGAGCTCCTGGGGTCCGAGCGGTGAACACCGCGGTCCCCTCCCTTGGGAGGGCGGACAGCTCGTCGCAGCCTTTGGAGGGCGAGCGTTTCTAGCCCGCAGCTCCGATTGAGACGATCGCAAGGCTACAGGTAGCGATGAGCTAGAATTTTCAATAAGCTAGCTTGGCTTCTACTCATAAAGTAGTAACCTGCGCAGCGAGAAGATGAAAAAGAACTGAACTCGTTGACAACACCGGAACTTATGCCTTCCGGGGTCATACGAGGTCACACGTGACTTTGTTGATATAAATATTCGACCTACGCATGCGCGAGACAGAAGATATCCAGTGCTAAAGCACCGCCTCTGGCGGTCAGTAAGGATGAAATAGAACTCATTGCTTTTTTGTCGAGGGAAGCCATGCGCAGCTTACTTCCTGGTTTTAGGACGCGTCACTGCAGCTCTCTCGTCTCCTCTTCACACACCACACTTTTCGTGGCACACGTACTTACAGCCAATCAGCTCTGAATTATGTGAGATGACGTATGGTGGGGATGGCAGCTCAGTGCCCCTATGGTCATTATTTTTTTGCCACACACATTAAATAGGAAAATACTCTGAGCATGCGCAGTGTAGTTTTTACAGTCACCGTTCACTTCACAGCGAGAGGGAGGGGCATGATCAGGTTTTGTCCCACATGGCTCTAAACAGCTCAATAGGCACACACTGTAGACACTAATTAGAAGAACACAGACTAAAACAGCAATGTACAGACGAATCAGATGATTAACCATGATCTTAAAATATATTTTATATATTTTTTTTTTAAATGTTTGCATTTTTTGTAATCATTATTTGTAATACTTTCTGCTGACACTAGGTGGGGCTGTGCCTGCCCCTAATGACCAGTCGCCACTGTTTATAATATACTCAGATCAATAGGAGACAGAGATGTTAAATTATAAATCAAGGGTTTTTATTATTATTTACACCAGGGGTGGGGAACCTTTTTCCTTTCAATTTTTACAACATCCTCCGAGGGCCGTACAAATTATTGAACTCAACCTCTGCTTAAAAATACTAAAATCACAGCCCATTCATTTCGCCTTTCTTTCATGCTGTGCAAAGAAAAAGCAACCTCTTAATCCAGATATTTTACCATGACTCGCACATGCAATTCATGCATGTGCACGGTTGTGGCATGACCACCAAAACAGAAAGATATGGACACAAGATGTGTGCAAATGTATTTAGTATCCTATCCATGTGGACATGATTTAAGTGGGGGGGGGGGACCTAACCTCCTCTAGGGGGGTCCGGGGGCATGCTCCCGCGGGAAGATTTTTTTTTAAATATTGAAGTTAAAAGCATCAATCTGGTGCACTTTGAGAGCAAAAAGAAGAGATCTATGGATACATCTTTCAACACCCATATGAAACAGAACTGTAAGCAGATTTTTCTTTTTGGATATTTTTCAAATCACTCAACTTTTAAACTCTATTCTTGTTATTTTTAACAACTTTTTTGTTACTGTCATATAGTATTTTATACCTGTTTTTCATTTAGTCTCTAATGTCTCATTAATAACTATAATGATCATATCAAGGTGTGCCTTAACCTCACTGAGCTGAGGTTATTTGAGCCTCTCAGGAGAGAGCTCTCTTCCACCTGGTTGTAGAAAAGCTCTTTAAATTCGTTAGCATAGCTAGCTAATGTTGGAGTAGAACACTTCTGCTACGCGCCATTCGTTGGATGAGGCTGGATCTCTATTAAATTAAGAAAGGAATTGAAAACACCGGAATCAAAGTTATAACAAATTATCTGAGTTTACTTCTA